CTGCTGCTGTTTCCTTACTCTATGCATATCAGTCATTGCAAAGAGAGGCACTCACGTAGTGAACTCCATCGTAAACGTTCATCACTAGTCCAGTTAATCGCAACACTAAGACACAGAATGGCGTTGTCCAGTTGATGTCATAATCGGCTGATTCTGTGTACCAGTAAGCCACGAGAAGATAACCCTTCAAACATTATACCATTCATGAAAGCTGACTTAAAGACACATGGTACGCTCAAACACATTGAGGGTGTATGAGACTAACAGCCCCCCAGCTGTCGATGTGTCGTGGTCCCCCCGCTCAAACATGCCCAGGAATGGAGATACAGGACCGTGGGAAAGGCTTATTCCTTGCTACTCCGCCCAAAATTCACCGCGCGCGCGCGGCGAATGCAACCCGCGCGAGTGAAATTTTGGGGGAGTAGCACAAGGAATAGCCCTTTCCCCCACGGTCCTGATCTGCATTCGCTGGGCATTGTTTGGAGCGGGGAGACGCACGAACACATGCGACAATGCTGGGGGGCTGTTAGCCCTCATACACCCTCAATGTTGTTTGAGCCGTACCATGGTGTCTTTAAAGGCACACTCCACGCTAGTTGTATAGAAGAAGACAGTCAACAATTGTGCCTCCGTTCATTGACACGCCGCTCTCATTTACCGTCATCTTCACATTAATCTTCACATCTTCTTCATCTTCACATCAGAGGCGCATTAATGAGAGGGACAAAATGGTGGACTGTCTCCGCCCATACGGCCAGCGTGAATTCTGCCGCTACACGCCATCGCAGGAACAACGCCGATTCAAACGAATGAAATTCATACCAAGAACGATACATGTGCCGCCACTATCGATTCACGAGTGCCGGCCATAAAATTCGTTATTAAATATGCGAGTAAAATTGCTACAAAAGTGTGGACAACGTCATATCCTAAACGACTTCACTCATTGCAAGTTTTTTTTTCGGACTTAAAGGCAGTTGGCACGATAAATCCCTAAAGACGAGTAGGATTGATACGCCTGGCAGGACGGAATTCCGCGACCCTGAGCAGGCGCTGCGTAGCGGTTTTCCTGAGAAGGTACCCTTATAAAGGTCCTATCAAGCCACAACATTCCGACCCAAACGCCCACCACGCCCGCCCGCCCACAAATGGACGACCGTACCTGATGCTTCATTTGCTAAGCAAAATATGAAGCGAAGGGATTTGTATGAAGCGGCTGCACTGCTGAATGGATATATGAGTACATACATGCAGCCGTACCTACCGTAGCGCTTATCTGCAACACGCCTACGGGAAACTCGTCCGAAATTGCTTTTCAAGACGAAGGCCTTTCTTCGCAGTTTTCGACCATTTCACTTCGTTAATTTCGCCATTATTCCCATTAGTACCCTGGTGCTGCTAGCATTTTAGCAGTTCTACTCCAAATTTTCGTGCCAACTCCTTAATTCTTGCTTCCCTTTTCCTACTCCCCGTGGATGTCGAAAGATCCATGTTGCTGCCAGATTCAAACAAGCTGGATTACTCGGCATATCGCAGCACTACCACATTAAAGAACTGCACGATAATTTGTACTCGCCTAAAAGCTACAGTGCGCTAACCTATACTTTCTTCTTTTTCGCACAAACACAAATAGAGCGTTTGGGGATCATATTGGTGCGAAGATTCTCGAGCGGTTGAATAATGTCGTTCCATCTCTCAAGTCATTCTGTCCATTGCTCCAGTATAAACGAGCCGTAAGTCGCCACCTCTGTTCTGTGACTCCGAGACCTTTTTTTCCATTGGTATCCAGTCATTGCCACTCGATCCCAAGAGTCTGAGGGGACCTTTCATTGAGCAGAACCCACGAGGACCCATTTCTTTTGTAAGTGCCCAAACCACGCCAATAATTTCAGCGATGTCCTTTCGCATACGTGCAGTTATGTGCCTGCACCTACTCGATAGCGTGATTAACTGCAACACGACCTTACGTAAACTCGATCCTACAATTGATATTTCAAGTCATTGAGACGACCACTTTCTCTTGCAGGAATTTTGACCATTTCAATCTCCTGGGTTTCTTATCCGCCCATATTCGCACTAATTCAGCAGGGCGTTATATGTGTGGAAAATGCTGAAATCGATTCTCCAATGACTGAAAATTCAAATATTAGGACGATTTACCGTGGTCCCAATGTGCTAGTAATCGCTGCATGAGTACGGCTCTGCACGTATGACTTATACCTCCATGCAGCAACCTGCCGCCGATTCATACCAATGCTTTCACCTCATAATTTACTAATAAATTGAACCTAATTCCACCGAAGATGTTAGGAACGTCGTTCATTTGATGGCGACGAGCGTGGTGGCGTTCGGTCGGTACGTTGCTTGATATGGCCCTTCATAACGGTACTTTCTCTGGAAAGTAATGCTACGCGGAATTCCACCTGCCAGGCACAATCCTACTCGTGTTGGGGGATTTATCGTGCCAACTGCCTTTAAATCAATCAGGTCTGTTGCGCATGCCGCACAGATGATCTCATTACAATGTTGTTTTTCATCGCGTCACCGCAACGCGGACCTCCTAACCACCCTCCTGGTAATATGGACCCTACCACTGTGTGGAGAGGGCCATGAGTGTTCCGATTCGGCGTTTTACGCAGTAGTAAGGGAGGGGGTGTTATCATGGTCATTACTAACTAGAACGATGTTCAGCAATCGTTTACAATTACACCAAACTCTCCCTCTCTCTCCCCTCCCACTTTCCCTCTCTCTCCATCTTTCTTACTCTCTACTCATATCTCACTTTGAGGAAATCCCTCACCAGTATTAAAGAAATGTAATGCAACACCGACAGCTACGAAGAATATGTGTTGCTCCTGTGGTGGTTTCTTATAAATAACTGTGCGATGTAGGTAGGCTAGTGGATATCCTAAAAGACTGAATAAAGGATGGCTGAAAAGCTGATAAAGGAAAAAGCTGAGCACTGTTTACGGTAATAAAAGTAAATAAAGGGATCTCAGTAATAAAAGTGTATAAAAGTTTTAGATTGGGCTACTCAAAGACACGTTCTGCGATCGCTGTTTGAAAGTGGTGGAGTCTAAATATGGTTTCTCAACTGCTAATCGAGTTATCAGTGAAAGGGCAAGAAAATGCTCTCTCTGAGAGCCTCCTCTTCACAAGAATGCTGAGTTGTGGGCAAAAGTCGTGCCCCAGGCGGGAGTCGAACCCGCACCTCACGCTTTCCGGGCGAGTGCGCTATCCGTTACGCCGACTCCCGCCGGGTTGACTTTTGCCCACAACTCAGCATTCTTGTGATAACATTCGGAACGCATACAGCAGTTATAATAAAAAACAGGCTTCAAAAACTCTGTAAAGCTTTCGGCCTTGCGCCGAAGTTCCACTTGCGATATCTAACGTTTACGCTGGACCGGCCCTTGCATCAATGCTACTAACGTGTGTTGCTGGTAAGGCTACGGCATAAAAAGCCGTTAAGCTGAAGTAGGGCGTAGAAAAGCGCCCTGTGCGCGCTGACGGCGATAGCGGCACTCGCCCGCTGGAAAGCGTGAGGTGCGGGTTTGACACCCTCCTGGGGTAAGACTTTTGCCATACATACTCAGCATTTCTTGTCATTCGTGAACTCGTTACTGCGGCGCTGTTAACAGCAAGTTATATAACAAAAACAGCCTCCTCTTCTGTGGTTGGATTTAAAATTAAAATGATTTGTGGAAGAAAGTAGAAACCAGGTGGCACCGGCAGTCGCGAGCGAGAGACAGCGAACAAAGGATCGGGAACAGAAAAGAGGGTAAGACGACGGCAGACATAACCAACTACCAAATGCAGTCGAATGCGGCCTTCTGCTTTGATTGGACATTAGGCTTCCTCTTGCCCGATTTATCGTGCAATCATTTCACCCTTGTCATTTACTCGTTCTAACGCGAAAGGAGAAGAACTAGTTGGAGGAATCAACCGCGCCAAAACCAGAGACGTTAGAAATGAATAAGCAGGCGTGGGCACCGGCGCACATTCCCTTCGTGTAGGATACACCGCCATTCTCAACGCTCGAAAGTAGCATATAGCCTCTGATGCCTGCCGTAGCGGTTACTTCTGTGAAACGTCTGCGCTGCAATTCAATATTTGCAAGAATCGGGCAAGAGAGAGAAAAGACGCGGTGTTATCTGATGTTGGCTTCGTGCCGTGGGGTGCTATGGTGCAGGATGAAGGCGGTCTCAGAAGTGGGATGAGCCCGTTTCTCCTCAGATCCTTCATTCTGCACCATAGCACCTGCACTTTCCTGCAACAAGTGAGCCTGTCTTGCTCTTCTAATGTTGATTGGCTGGTGATCGATTCAGTAAGAAAGCGACCGGTTATGGAAACGCCGCGGATGGGCTCATTCCATCCTTCTTGGAAACGCCTCGACTGATAAACGACGATATCAACTGCAATCAGAGTTCATTGTTTCTTAGCAAGAGCTCAGCGGAGGGTGGGCCAGCCACGAGCTTCCGCGTCGGCTTTGCGACATACGGCTAATTTCGCACAGTCTGCGTTAACAAACACGCGCTGCGTGATGGGCGTACAATGCCCCTTTCTTTGCTCGTCTGCGACCTCTCGTACCAGACTCTGGGCGGAAACTATCTCGTTGAAGGGCGCAGCATAGTCGTTGTCGACTGCTCCCGAGTCCCCTAACACCTGCCGAAATTAGAGCAGTTTTGGCGCGACCCAATTCACGATTCACTTTGTTCGCTTACCCTGAGCGCTTGTCTCCTGAGGTACTTCAAGGTAGAACTCACCGGCTAATATGCATATGAACAAGCGTAGTGCATCTTCCCTAAAGTGCAGAATACTGGATAGACGTTGCACCAGCATGTAGAAGGTAGCCCAAGTAAAGTGATGCCTACCCGATGAGGATGATCAACGAGAGCTGGTGATACGGCCATTATCACTGATCAACACGTTTCAGGGGATATCATGGGAAGGGAGGTCATTCCTCGCTCGCGATGGGGATTCTGTTGAAAGCGCATCCCTTGGAAGCAGTTCGTGAGTTCTGGGGTCCAAATGTGAATTCCTAGATGACCACTTGTGGGCGGAGTTTGTAAAATGTTTGACCAGACGATCTGATAATTCTCAGCCCCGTACGGATGGAAGAGTTGCACGGTTTGGGACGCTATCACTAGTCTCCGTAGCGGGCGCTGCCTCTAAAAGCGTCGAGAACATTGTCGAAAAATGCAGTAGAGCACGCAATGGACCCATGGAGTGGAGCACCCTACTCTCCAAACCCTGCCCTCATGTGATGAAATAAAACCCAGGTTTTTCATCAAGCAGCAGGGTCGCTTTGCTCTTCACGGAAGAGTTCAGTGACTATTTCTACGCGTTTACGACTTCTATGTACTACGCAATTCTTATCAGCTTTCCGATTAGGATATCCTGACCGCTCCCCCCTGGGCAGCGAAAAGAAACGGACCCACTGTTGCTTGTTCTATGGCTCAGCTTCTCACCCCCTAATACTTCTTTTATTGATTTTTTGAGTGCAAAATTTTACCTAATACACTGCTCCGATGCTTTTCAACGTTTCATAGATTCTCCTACTAGTCTCGACCACTTTTACGGCAAAATTTTGCTGCTATTCAACAAGAACCTGAACTTCATATTAGAGCCCTGAGAGTAGAAAATTTCAAACCGTAAACTCAGCTAAGTCCGCTAAAACACAATGGAGGAACAGCATAATTCTGATTTGTAAGGACAGAATATATCTTAAGCTTTACGATTTTCCTAAAGGGTTTCCTCTCAGTTTTGATGAGAAGATCATCTAGAAAAATAATATTCTATTGTAAACGAGTCAACTTTTCAATGGATAATGCTAAAAAATATTCATGAAGTAATGCTTTTTTTTCTTCCTGCCACCTACCCACTTACGTGGCTAAAACAATTGTTCATTCATTTCTCCTACTCTCGCACTGTTTATGGCATAGCCTGATATTTTTCACTGAAGAAAGTACATTGTTGGAATTTTCGTTGATCAATCTCATTTGAACACGCCCCGTACTCAATTCCAGGCACAGTTCGGCCAAGGGGGAGGGCATTTTGCACTCTGCTGCTTCCCATCAATGTGTCGACCCATCTAGACAGCCTTTTCTCGAGTTGACATGTTTCACCCATTAGGTTGCTGTGAGCTTGCTCCAGCTTCACAGGAGTTCACAGGCTTGATCAGGTAAAGTACACAAAACCGGATACTGGACTGCGAGCACTGAAAGTGCAAATGCCATCCCCCCCTTCGTCGCCTAAGCGCGCTTTGCTTCTGAGCTTACTAATAATATATAAATGTAGTGATCAGCATGTAACTTGAGCACCCAACAAGCAGCGCCAGTTTTCGCGTGTTTAGTTCAAGCACTACAGTTGTTATCCTTGCAGAAGAGATGGCTTGTGAGGAGCATGAAGTGGACCGCATACAGAACGTTTTCCCACAAACTCATGCCATACTGAACCCGCGTAGAATGGCGAAAAGGCTGCCCTGATTGTCGTTCACAGGGATAGTGAAGTCAGGGCACATTCTGCTGTTGAAGAAGAAAAGTTTGCAGAACACGGCCCTCCTATAGACTGCCCCCTCCAATACGACCATTTTTCCTGTCCATGCTACCCACATCTTCCTATTTTCCGGAAATTTTTCCAAAAATTCCCCCTTTTCTCCCAGAAAAAAAATACCATCGAGCGGGAGAAGGACATATAACACAAACAGAGAAACAAGAAAAATCGACGATTGAAAAAATTCTTCTTAAAGGCAAATACGACCCTCACCTCCCCCATCTCCTTGCAGGGAAAACATACTACTCCTATCGACCCTAAATGAAGTTACTCCCAATCTTCGTGCGGGGCGGGCTGAGGCACGTAGGGAGAGAAGGAGGAGGTGTTTGGGTGCGGTTGAATGGAATTGTTTTTGCTACGCGACATATTGAACTTTTCTGCATGGTCCTGTTGATCGCCAACCAAGAAAAGCACACAATAGAGGAGAGCGCATGTCAAAGCATCGAGACGTGCAAGAAACTATGGCGTAGGAAACGAGCTTTTTCAAGGGGAGGGGACTCCGGGGTGCGTGGGTCACTTATCATACGTGAAAAGCTGGCATCTGCGAAGTCACAATGACCATGGAGCGCCGCGCGGGCGAGAGAGCAGAAAAGAACACAAATTCGGCTTTTAAACGAATTGAGTTCGAGTAGACCGTTGTTGCTTCCGCTTTTTACCAAGTGTGAAGAGGTGGCTGCGCTGCGCTAGCCCACCCCCCCCCCCCCTCCCAATCCTCATGACACGTCCCAGAATCCGCAACGAACAAATGTATATTTCTTGCATTATAGCTTCTTATTCAATCTCCTTCTAAGCGAACCTGCAATAGAAAACCATTCTAGCTCCGATTTTTCTGTATCGAGAAAATGAATGTTATTTTCATCAACCCCCCCCCCTACGCTAAACTAAATTTAAAAAGGCTTTTGATTCCAACAGGAAAACAAATCCTCCCAGGTTGCCTTACATATAGGCTTTCTTGGTAACACTAGCTCTCGTCAACTCTGCCGCACCCTCCTACAAAACCTCCACTCTATAGATGAAGTCAAATTAAGAAGTGTTGCACATCCACAGTGATTCTTGTCACTATTCAAACATCACATCTCCTAAATTCCAATAGAAAAACTGTTGATCCCTTGTCCGGAGGGCAGAGTGAAGCCCGCGTTGGGAGCCCTCGACGGATTGGGAGAGAACGGCGGGAGGGGGTCTAATTTGGCTTAACGAAAAATTTGCTTGCTTGTTGGTCGCTCATATTCCCGCACTTTCTGTAATTTTCCTCGACGTCATGTTTGCCCCTGCCAGAGATTAAACCTGCTTAGGTTTTATGATGACGCTATTTATTCTGAGTAGCGTTATTTGAAACATTTTTATAATCTTCATTCATCGTTAACTTTCTACATTGGAATCGGTAACATCGCCACAACTACAGTCTATACCTCGGAGATAGATAGGGCGTGGTTGCGCACTTCATCTGAACAGCTGTAGGACGTGTTTTTCGTGAAATGTTTTCAATTGGAACGGCTGTTATTCTGTCTTATGCTGGGCTATGCAAGAACAATTGCATAGGACGCCAATTTTTAACGAAGTACAAGGCCACGCCCTCCCAACTCCGCAAAATGGAGGTGCTTGTTTATATTTTTTATTATTTCAGAGAGCGATGAGCTCTTTTTACTCGGGAAGCCAGGCTCTTTCGTTAGCGGTGTTGTTCTCCGGTCTCGATGTTGCCGTCAATATGTTCGGCTTGGCGTGGAACGGGCAGGTATGGCTTCTAACTGGTCAAATCTTCCCAAAGAAAGCAACAATATCTCTTTGGTTCAATTATACTGTCTTAAAGACACATTCCTCGGTCATCAGACGAGCGCAGAAACAGGCAGAGGCTTATAACCACTGCACATTCCTCAGTGGCGCGCCCTCCTTTGCCGCATGAGGAGGAAGAAGAGTGCGCCACGAGGAAGGGCGAGTGATTATGAGTCTCCACCCTCTCGATTATCGTGGAACATGGCTTTGAGGGTTCTTCCAAGGTAATTTTTCGCTTCATAGATTTATATTTCGTTTCAGTACTTCACAATGGATAACATCAAGCACTGGTTCGATTTGCCAAATTACAAGTTCACCACTAACCCCATCGACTTTCTTGTGAGCTTTCCCTTCCTA